CCTTCTGGCCTCCAAGCTGGAGCCATCCCAGCTCCAGAGCATCCCTGGGCAGGGCTGGGCAGAGGCTGGACCCGGCGTGGCCCCGATTTCCAGCCACGGGGATCTGAGGTGGCCGTGGATGAGGGTTGGGGTGGGCACCCAGCCAGGGTGACTGGGGCAGTGCACTTGGGGGTGCTCGGGGCCAGGTGCAGAAGGCACAGACTGGTTTCTGTGTGTCGCTTTTCCAGGCTGGAATGGTGTGAGGGACGTTGGGTTCTGCTGCTCCCGCACAGCTTTGAGCCCTTGGCCCGATCTGTGGCTTTGGGGTTTGTGCAAGACCTGCCCCAAAACCCCCTGGGCTGGGGCAGTGGGTGAACAGACACCCTGCAGTAAAAAAAACATCATTGCACTGGCACAGAGGGGGCCTGGCTGGAGATCTCCACCCTGGGAAGCTGGATCCAGGCTGGTTCCCTCCCTCCTGGCCGTGCTGAGCCACAGGGGACACGGGAGTCACCTCTGGTGACCTGCAGTGGAGCCTCGTTATCCACTTGCTGGTGGCAGGAGGAAATTTTTAAGAGCTGGGGTAGAAAACAAAGTGAAAGTGTGGGGGGGGTTTTTTTGGGTTTCTTTTAACCAGCTCCTCTTGCTGGGATCCCGTGGATGTAAGGACACAGCAGCAGATAAGGCAGCCGGGGGTCCCCGAGGGGATGGTCGCAGCGAGTGTGGGGGGGCTGTGGGGTGAACACAACCCCCATTCCTTGGTCAGACTGTGGCTGGGACACTCCTCCTAGCTCTGAAATCCAGCTGCTGCCTGGCAGCTGGGGAAAGGGACGCCAGGGAGTGCTGGGCTGGCCACGGCTCACCCGGGGATGTGCAGGGGGGTGCAGGGTGGGCTGTGCCCTTCAGTGAACGGGGATTTCGGTGGGTTTTGGCTGTAACCCGCTGGGGGGGTGCAGGTGGGGTCCTTCCTGAGGCACTGCAGCGGCCCGAGGGTGGGAGCAGTGGATGTGCCAGTGGCAGGAGGTGGCTCCGTGGTCCCACAGCGCCCTGGGATTGGCACTGACGGAGAAGGGCAGGGAGGTGTGAGAGCAGCATGGAGGGAGCTGGACGTGTGCTGTGGCTGATTCCCTTCAAAGGCAGTGGGAAGGACCGTGGTGTCCCCATTCCCCAGAGTTCTGGTGTCCCCATCCCCGGGGCTGTGCCCTGATCCCTCGGAGCCTGGAGCAGAGCACCCCTCGGGCGCTGGGCATCGACGGGAGCTAATCTGCTGAGCTCCTGTTCCCTGACCACCCCATCGCCGGCTCCTCAGTCCTCCCAGGGGCAGAAGGGGCACTGCCGGGGCGGGGGGAGCTGCTGGCACGTCACCACTGGCACGAGTTGCTTGTTC